CTCCTGTCGGATCTCCAAACACAGCTCTCGGGCGTCCTTGGCCTCATTCTTGAATGTCCGTGCGTTGCGTTCCTTCCAAAGCACCCAAAGAAGTTAGCATGATTAACGAATCGAAGCCCTTCCGCCGCCGCTTCGATGCACCCTACGCTGGCCCAGCCCACCGGCGAAAAGGTGTCGACGTCCCGTGCAGGCGGCGACGGTTGTGAGCCCAAGCTTTGGACAGGAGGATTATCAGATCTGGCTGCCGAGGAGGCTTCTGCCCCAGCAGGATATGATCCGAGTTTCAGATGCTTGAAGACACATGATGCAATCGTCAGCATCCTGCGCAGCCATGCCGCATCCGGCGATTTGTTGTCCAAAGAACGACGATGCATAGCCAACCGAAGAAGAACTCGACCTTCGGGCGGTGCCCGCCCCCATATCAGCTTGGCCCCAAAGGCGTGGTCGATCCGCTGAACATCGCACCATACGCCGACGCCACGGAGTATTTGTGATCGGCGGATAACGCTAGATGACGGAGTCCGTAACCCCCTTGACGGTACTGTACTTCGCGCACCGCTCCCGAGAGGTCCAGATCATTGGAGGAATACCTGCACACGCTTTGCGACCGGTGATGTCGAGACACCCATGCGTGGCAGCCAATCCCGACGCCCACGGTCGTGACCTCGCCGCCGCCCGTGGGGATGAGGCAAACACAACACGCTGGCCAAATTTGTTGTACACACAGCATCCATGGATCCATGAGTCATGCCAAAACAGCGTTGAGGTCCTGTCCCCGATCGCCACCATTGTTCTTTGCACGGAAGAGGGCACTCGTGGTCCGTCGGTTGTTGTCGGCAGATCGATCCAAGTTCATTTGGGTCGACCTTCGCGCAGCCACTCCCAAAAGCAGATCTAAGTGCAGACCAAACTGCAGTTGAGTTGATGACGCCGAGGCCCCCAAGCTCCTTTGGCCTACAGACCACGTCCCAGGCCACGCGACATTTGCCCGCGGCCACCGAGGCCGACCCAGACCATATGAACGATCGACGCAGCTTATCAATGCGGTCGACCGCCCATGGCGACAGACATACGGCAATGGAGAGGTGCACTGGGATGGCGGAGAGCGTCGCCTGCGTCAACGCAACCCTGCCTGCCGTATTCATGAGCTGGCCCTTCCAAAGCGGAATACGCGCCGCGACGGTATCGATGAGGAATTGTTCCTCAGTCCGGCGCAGGCAGCGAGTCGAGATGGGGATTCCCAAGTAATTGCACGGAAAGGCTCCGATTATGCGGGACAGATGTTAAGCTTGCCACTAGGCGCAACTCCTCTCGTTGAACATGCAATCAGGTTGGCGACGCTCTTGCCCAAGTTAGTGTACAAAACCGGACGCGTCGCCGCCAAGATCCGCAGGATGGTTTTGATGGCGACGATGTCATTCAATCGGCTTAATGAACACGACGACGTCGTCGCAGATAACGACACCCTTGTGCGCATCGCGGGCGCACCGGATAGGTGAGAGGAAGGGCGGGACTCAGCCCACCGATGAGTCCACCAAGCACCTCCATAGCTAGGACGAACAACATCGGTGGCGGTGGTCGCTTTTGCCGCAAGCCTCTCGGCATGGCGCGAGATGCGGTTGCCCGGTTTGCCGTTGAGTAGGACTCGGTGTTTGCGATGCAAGGATGATGGACATCCAGTTCCTCCATCGCCGACCGAACCCGAGCATTTGAAGGACCTCCAAAAGAAAAGGCCAGCAGAGTGAATCGAAGGCTTTCGCAATATCAATCTTCGGAAGAATGCGCTTTGTTTCTTCCGGTGCAAAGTCTTGCTTGGTCACTGAACTCCTCTCGAAGGAATCATGTATGGAGCGTCCTCGGATGAAGGCGCCCGGCATGGGTGCACTAGATCATTCAAAGACAAGAGCTAGCCGACGGGCAAGGCACTTGGCAATAAGCTTCCCAAAGCTGTGCATTAGGGTGATCGGGCGGTAGTCGCCGATCTCCGGGCTGCATTCTTCTTTTTAATTAGGACCATGAAGGCGTCATTGATTAAATGGAAGCTGCGCCGCCCGCAGAGACCGTAGCGCGTTGAAAGCGTTGAGGACGCCCCGCTTGATGATCGCCGAGCAACTTTGTAGAACAGCCCGGTGAACCCATCCGCCCCGGAGCTTTGTCCGACGGCAACTCCTTGATGGTCGCCCAGATCTCAAACTCGAGAAGCATACATCCAAAGCATGGATAGATCATGCTTGGTCCAACCCCGATCCGTCCAAAGTTCACGAGGCGGTCGTTGGAATGGAGTGCCGAGCGATCCGTTGTAGTGAAAAGCATTGCTTCCGCCAACCGCCTGCTGTGATGACAAGTTCATGTCCCCGGACCGTGAGCGAGGCGATGTGATGCTTTCGATTGCGGTGGCAAGCCCTGAAGGTGGAAGAACCTCGTGTTTGCGTCCCCATCGGCAAGGAACAACAACCTAGAGTCTTGCCGGCAATTGTCCGTAAGAGGGACGCAAAGGCCAAGACATTTGCATTTCATGTCCTTTCGTAGTGCACGCTCCTCGGTCGACGGTGATCTTTGGTCTCCTGCGCGATCCAAATGCAGGATGACCTCGCGCGCAATGGCAAGTTGCGGTAATGCTCCCGATATTGCGCATACTCCAACTTTTGAGTGCACGAAGCGACGTTCGAGTTTAAAGTCCAAGATCCGGAACGCGTCCGCGTGAAGCAAGGTCATTTGCCATGCCGAGGCGGCGACGTCAAGGAACTCCGGCAGCTTCGCCCGAAGGACATTCATGCGCAGGAGTAACGGCGTGATCCGAAAGCAGTCAAGGAGAGAGAGCGCGACGCATGTGGTGGTTCGGGTACAATTGCAACCAATCCACCGAGGCGAAAAGCGCGGTCAATGCGCTCGGCGTTGGGTGCGATCGCTCGTTAGACCACGTGAATAAAGCGCCCATTTAGGTGTAGCTCCTCGACCGCGACCGCACCAAGAAAAGCGGGCGTAAACGCCAGATACACCGTCGATCCGGCCGGTCGTTGTTCTTATCCACGCGCGGTAGATCATGTTGAAGTCCCCGCAAATGAGCGAGGGGACCAAAGCGGACGACGAGCATAGAGCCGCGAGCTCGTTAAGAAAAGCCTCACCGGGCATTAGTCTCCGTGCCCATAGACAACGGTGATCCACCGGTGAACACGGGATCACAACAACCGGAGATTTTGGCCGTTACGGAATGTGCTTGCGAGGGACACTGCGACGCCAACCAGTGTCCGTTCTCCACCGAGGAGCACTCCACCGGCGCTAATTACAGCGAGCAAGAAGGCATACTCAAACGATGTTCCTAGGCATTCGAAGCAAGCTGGTCGGATACACTCGGAGAGCTTAGTCTCTCGCAAGCAAACAAGCGAGACCCTTTCTTGGACTATGACGCCCCTAACTACGTTGCGCGGCAAGCGCCATTGAGACCACGGACATTCCAGACTAACATGTTTTCATTCGACATTGCCAACATTTGGCGACAAAGTTCTTGAGGTTGGCTAGACCTCAAGCTCGACCCCTCGGCAAGTCGGATGCCGTTGATCGCACAACCGGCCGGGAACGACAAGTTGATCGCCTCCCTCTTGGACTCGAGAGGGTTCGCCGAACAGCGCCAAGTACTCGTCAAAAGCGTCGTCCTCTCCGGACAAGGACACCGCTGCAGTGGTTGCAGCCCCCACTTGGCCATTAGCACATTCTCGGCTCGCACCGTTAGGTTAGTTGCCCGCATTTGCTCTTGGCCGCAAGTCTGCCGCGCTTGGCGCGGCGGTGAGAGCGCCATGTCCAACACACGGCTCTTCCTGGTTGCACGTAGTTTTGGGGGTCAAGAATGATAGGCTCTGTGGATGACAGAGCACACCGCGATCGGAGGGCGCTTGAAATCTCCGTCGGTGTAGCCGGCGCGCAACTGCTGTTGCCGCCGGCACCGCCGCCGATGCCGCCTTTGTCCGCCGAGGCCTGGGTGGAGATGCCGCATTCGGTGTAGAAGGCCTGGTCGGCGTCCTCGTGCGATGTGGCGCCCAGTGTTGTCCACTCCGGATTCGGAGCCACTCTCGATGCATACGCAACCCGCCGATGGCGGTCCGACGAGCTCGATCGTACTGGTTGAATGAAGGCACAGAGCATATGTGTACTCGCGGACACGTCCGCCCGAAGCGTTGAGTTGGATGACCGTCTTTGGGCCTGCGAACTCGCCTCAATGCAAAGAGCCCACCAGTCCTCGGATGCCACCGTGCGGGGACTCTGTGGTGCGACCGCCCACAAGGAGTATCTCGGGTCTTCCGCGATCAAGCGCCCACAAAGCTCGCTGCAGTCCTCGGGCGCACGCCGAGCATAGGAGATGGGCTCATTGGCACCGATGAACCGGCCGTTGGTCCCGGCATTCCGAGGCTCGAGTTGCGCGCTCTGACAAGAATCGGTTTTGGTGGCGTGTAAGCCACCGCAAAGTGGGTACGTCGGCCGCATGTGGAGTAGAGTCCGACAATGACGGGTCCTCTCAGCGCCCGCTCCCGAGGACGCAGCGACGCACTCGAGGACGCGGCGACGCGACAAAGACGCATCGATGGCGCGGCGACGCGACAAAGACGCACTCACGGACGCAGCGACGCGACATCCGGAATCTCTGGCGGGCCACGGTTGCCACGTTCAGCGCGCGCTAGGTCCTCGCTTGTTGGTGACCAGCGGGCAACGAACTCGCCCGATTAAACGGACAGCCGTTCCACGGGCGGTCGTGTAAGACGGCGACGAAGCGACGACATCGACGCCGGTCTAACCCGGGATGGAAGCGGTTGAAGTTCTTTGTCGGCGGAGCCATCGCCGCCATTGCCACAGCCGCCGAAGTAGTCATCCTCGTAGCCGACATTGGCCCCTGCTGCTGCGGTTGCCGCCGCAAGGACCGTCATCTCCATCGGCATCACCCGTCATGCGCGCGATCGTCTGCAGCGACGCCGACAACAAGACTCCAATCTCGAACGCAACCAGCGCAATCAGACGACGGTAGCGCAGCCCCGAAGCACGGTCAAAGCGGCCTCGACGGGCTGAGAATGCGTGGCTCGGATGAACACGACCTGCTCGTCGTGGATGAACCTTGGGTGCGTACACCATGCCGTGACGAAGAATTCTCGGTCATCATCCGCCGGAACGTCACTAGGTCGGACAACGTCCACCTCGGCACAAGCGGGCCCGAGGATGGCCTGCGCCGTGGCCGCGTTCCGAGCATGTAGGGGGACGCGCCTCATCCCCACAAGCACCCTAAACGGGAATGATTGGGCACTGGCCAACGACGTCCTCCGCCATGGCCGCCAGAAGAGGGAAGGTGCCCCTCCCCCGGCGGTGTTGCCAGTACGCGGTCTCTGTCATCGCGTCGCCTGAACCGCACAACGAAGTCCTCTGGATCATGGCGCCGAACCTCTGCGTCCTCTTCCGTCAATCCGTAGCGGCCAAAGAGGAACCGGGCCACCATGGCCGTCGACACCGTTGGTCGTAGTACCGCCAACCACCGCAACAAGCGCAAGCCCGAGCGCATCCTCGGCTGCCAGCAATTCCGCCGAGCGGGGGACGACGACGAACCCGGTGTGGCGCCGGAGTACGTCTGCCCCCACCGTATCGACGACGGCAGCAGAGGCTGGCGGCGGCGGCGGAGGCGGCGGAGGCGGGGGAGGTGGAGGAGGCGGAGTCGGAGGGGCGCAGCAGCGAGGAACCGATGGCGACCTTCCCGTGGAGGCAGACCGCGCCAAGGGCGTGTCGTTGTCGGCGCGCCGAGTCCGCCAGCCCCCGGACCTCCGCGGGAGACCCTTGTACCCCTTGGCGACCGCGGCGGAGTGCGCTCGTGCTTAGAGCCCGCATGTCGCGCAGGGAGCGGGCATGCGACGGCGCGATGCCCCACACACCAGCAATTGAAGCACCTCACCGGGAAGGTGCACTCTGCCTTTACATGTGAGCTCGCCAAGCAGTTGAAGCATAGGCCAACCAACGCTGGCGGAACAGGCCTAGCCGGCTTGGGCGGTGATCGACGACGCCAACGTCGGCGACTGCGCACCTGGAAGAAGCCGTCTGCGTCCGGTACCTCCAGAGGACGAGCAGGGTGCGCCGTGGGGGTACGACGCCGGGCTGGAGGCGGAGCCGGGTCAAGCTGGGGATGAGACCGACGAGCAGCAGCCATGAAGTCCCCCTGCCCCTGCCGCTTACGACGACGACGATGCGCACGACGACGTTGCCCAGCCGGCTCCGCAACCGCCTTGCCTTTGCCAGCCGGCGGCGGCGAGGGCGGCTCAGAGTCGGAGTAATCCTCCGAGTCAGTGAAGGAGATTCGCTCCCCGCGACCACAGCCGAAGAAGTCATCCGAGAAACGGCCTGGAAACCCCGCTCCCAGGGATTCCGGCGGCGGGAGCTCGTCCTCGGCCTCGTCGGCCCAAGAGCGCCATGAGGGCGAGCCAGCCTCCATTGCGGAGCGGAACGGGGTTGGTGGGCTGAGGTTTGGTGGATGCCGGTTCCGGACTAGCATCCGGCGTTGGGCAGGCGGTGGCCAGCGGCGGCCCGGGAGGCCGCCGGTGGGGGTAAGGTGGCGGAGGTTCCTATGCTACCATCCTGTCGTCCTCCGATTATTTATTATTGATAGACGTAAATTGTTCTAACTCGTATGAGCACGTCTAACAAGTCTAGGTTATACGTCAGGTATAGAGGACGTGACGTAATATATCTTGGAATTAGACTATATGAGTCTCGGTAGCATACAAGATATGAAGAGTGTAAGTGATAGTTAAGGGTGGTGAACAAAAATAACATAAAAAATTTGGTTGTTTAATACTATAGGATAGTTATTAAACCATAACCATCACAGTCCACTTGCCCCCTCCATTTTCAGGGGTAGTGGCACCGAGGGATCCACGTGGCGATGGAGGATGTTCGGCGGGAAACGCATCCCCATCTCCTTTGCGTTTATCTTCTGTTGCACCTTCTATTCTGCAAGTATGGAACAGCGAACTGATCGGTACAACTATACCTGGAAATGGATTAAGATCCATGTAAACCAATCCAAATGAGATCCACTCAAGGAAGACACCAATCCAATCCAACTTGCAAGCTGGAAACATCCGAACCCATCCAGTCCAACAACCTGTAAATCCAATCCAATCCGTCGATCCAGCCGGGCGAGCTCACGCTCCTCGGCCCGGACGGGGAGCCGCCCACGCCCACGCGCTGCGCCGCCGCGATGCGCCGTGCCTGCAACCCTCCGCCGCGCGCCTCCTCCGTGGCATCCTCCGTGCCGAGGGCCCTCCGCGCTCTACCGTGGCATGGCCTCCTCAGCCAGGTTGCAGCGGCATGCCCTCACTCTCCTCATCAATAGCCGCCCCGAGCTGCTCCTCGTGGCCGGGTCCTTCCGACGGCGTAGAGCACGTCGAGGCAGAACGAGCGGCCGAGCTCCGCCTCCGGCGACAGGCCCACAGCAGGTAGCTGCGGCCACCATCGTGGTGGCCCCCATCACCGCGGCCACCGTCGTGGTGGCCCTCATCGCCGCGGCCGCCAGAACACCGCGGATAGCGCTGCAACATGCGCCTGCGACGAGCCCTGTATCCTGCTCCTGTTGCGCTGCCCCCGGTGATGTTCCTGCTCCGCACCCTGCTGTGCCGGTGGTGATGGTGGTGCCTCGCCGCAGCTGTCGTGGCCATCGTAGGCTAGAGAGGAACGGACACGCGGTTTGCTGCCTGCATGTTTGGATCCCTCACCAACCTTGCCTTAGCTTGATTAGGACTCCTCACCGAAATCGCCGGCGGCGTAGGTGGAGGAGCACGACATGCACGCTGCCGCCAGGAAGAGAGGCACGGGAGGGAGGGGACAATCTTTTGATCCAGTCCAATCCGATGTGTTTGCGCCTTAGGCTGTCTCCAACGATGAGAGCGCAAACACGAGACCTATTCCGGATTTGAGTCAGCTACAGGAAAAAAAGTCACGGACCCAAATCCCTCGTTCTCCAACAACGAATCCAAAACAAGACTCGCCATTTCCTCCGTCCGTCCGATGCCGCTTGCTCGTCCGTCTTCGTCTTCCCTGCGGCCGGGCACCAAGCTGCGAGCTCCGGCGCGAGATCCGGTGAGGCGCTGAGGAAAGGCCGACACAGGGAGTGGACGGAGGCAAGAAACGCCACGGGCTTAAACAGAAGAGGAGGGAAGAGGGAGCAGAGAAGGTACAGCGAAGGCCGGACACGCAGAGCAGTTAGCAGCGCACCGGCGGCCGGACGCGTAGAGCAGTTAGCAGTGCTCCTCGCTGGCGGCGCTGCTCCGGCCCTAGCCTGATCCCCGCGCGCCTGGTCCTCCCTTTGTCGCCAAGCAGCACCACAGCCACGCCCTTCCTCCAGTGAGCCCTCCGCGCTACCTCCAACCGAGTCCCGCGAGCCCTCCGCGTCGCCTCCAGCGGATGCACTGGAGGAGCCGGTCGGATTCGGGGAAGAGAAGGCAGGGGCGCCGGGGAAGGAGCCGGCCGGCCGGATCCGGGGAAGAGAAGGCAGGAGCTCCTCTGGCCGTGCCCCTCCTCCCCAGGCGCAGCGCCTCCAGCCCCCGCCTCCAGCGCCCCCTCCGGATCTGCGCGCAGGTGCAGACGACGCCGGAGATGCCGCTCCCGCAGGGGCACGCCTCGCCGCGACGTTGCCGGGGATGTGAGCCGCTCGCTGGGGATCCACACAGGCTCGCCGAGGGAGCAGAGCCGCTCGCCACGACCTCGCCGGGATCCGCTTTTGCAGGGGCACCAGGTCGCCTACCCCTGCTCCCTCCGATGGCGGCCGGGCGGATCCGGGCTCCACGACGGCAGCCGCGCCTCCAACGACCTCCATCGGTCGCGCCCCTGTGCCGGGGCCCGGCGTCGGTCGCTCCTCCCTCTCTCTCTGCAGTGTTTTGCGTCGCCGAGAACGACGACGCTTTTTTGCCTTCCCACTCGGTTCCTACGCAAAATGGCTGCCGTCTTTGCGTCCTCCGTTGGAGTGTAATTTTAGGACGTAAAATACTGTGCACGAGGTATTTTGGGTATAGGTCGTCCTTTGCCTTTTCCGTTGGAGACAGTCTTATGCCAATGGATATCCACATCCAAACAGTATCCGTCCAATTAAATTCAGAGTGGGTTAAATCCATTTGCACTTCGGATGATCCAAATCCGCTTTCGGATTTAGGTACAACCATTAGGAATGGGATGGATCTGCTCCTGTCTCTAAACAAATCAATTTCTAAAGTTATTCTAAGCCAATCTTTTTTATATTTGACTAAATTATAGAAAAGAGTATAAATATTTATGACATGGATGAGTATATTGTATTTGTGCGTCTGTTTTGTACATGGGCACAGCTCGGAGGGAGTACGTCTGTTTTGTACGCTAGACTGGAGGGAGTACGTCTGTTTTGTACACGGGCACAGCTCGGGTAGCAGTACGCCTGTTTTGTACACGGGCACAGCGATTTTTTTTTAATTTTAACACTTTTTTTAAACTAATTTTAAATCTAACACTGTCTATTTTTTATTTCTAAATCTAACACTTTTGGCCGCGCCTATTGCCATGGCGCGGCCAAATGCCTGTGTCGCGCCATGCATGGTGGCGCGGCAAAAGGGCTGATGTGGCGACGACCGGGACGCTGACCGGTGACATGGCAGGGTCTGCCGCGCCATCCATCACGGCACGGCAAGGATCGACTTGAATGCCTGTGACTGCAAGCCTGCAACACTACCGAAACAACAGCAGAAGCAGCCTGCACACAAAGCTACGAACGACGATGGCCTATCGCTATCGGAGACGAAGACCATCGTATCACAGCTTGACCTTGATGCCACCGTACCTTTTGGTTTTTTATCCATCCGCTTTTTTACCGTCAATATGGTGAGGTCGTGGTGAGGTAATATGATGATCCTGTAGTACGTATCACGCATTCACGCGTCCAAGAATATGTAAAAAGTATTCCCTCCATCCAGAAATAACTTCCCTTCTGCGGTTCAAATTTTTTCCCAAATTAAATGACCACATTGCGTACGAGGTTGTGCTGTAGCAGGGAAGCAACGCAATATAAAAATTGACATGGAATAAAAATGGTAAGCTGACGCAAGGACTGGAGTACGTGTGCAGTTCCCGGCCACAAGTTTGCTCTATTTACTGTGCATGTTGTGACTTCCGTGCAAATTGGTGTGGCAGGCTGAAGCACGTCAGATGTCGGGGCCTACTTTTCATAGGAGTAATATTGTCATTTGCCTTGTGTATTAAGGTCCTGTTTAGTTTCCAAAAATTTTCACTTTAAAGTGTTACATCAAATCTTGCGGCACATACATGGAATATTAAATATAGACGAAAAAAACTAATTACACAGTTTTATTGAAAATCGTGAGACGAATGTTTTAAGCCTAATTAGGCCATGATTAGCCATAAGCGCTACAGTAAACAACATGCGGTAATGATGCGTTAATTAGGCTTAATAAATTCGTCTCGCGGTTTTCAGGCGAGCTGTGTGATTAGTTTTTTTATTAGTATCCGAAAACCCCTTCCGACATCCCCGAAACATCTGATATGACTTGTAAAAATTTTCATTTCGCGAACTAAACACTCTCTTCCATGAACTTAAACATGCAAATAAAGTTGACGGAGGGAGTACATTTTTTGTGGGCGTGTAAACTTTTGACCATAAACTGAAACCGGCTAGATACATCGTCAGGAACGGATCCACAGGAGAGCGTGGTACGGACGCCGAAAACGACCGCTCGGTTGCTTGCTCAGTTGCTCTGTGCGGCCTCGCTGACCGGCCTGAAAAGCACGCAGCAGGGCCGCGAGTTGGACTCAAAACTCAACCGCGTAGCAGCCTGCCTGCTGCCCAATGCCCATACTGATACTACCCGTACGTATGGCTGGTGGAGTCAGTGACCGATTCAAATTCAACATATATACCGGGAGCACTAGCAAGCAGCAGCAGGCTTAATTAATTTCACACAGCACACATCGTACAAATTCTAGTATTCATCAGATCAACGGCACAAAAGTTCAAGAGCCAGTGATGATGATGTTTGCCGCGGGGTCATGTCACCCTCCCAAATCTTAGGCCTCGCTTAAATTCTAAAGTTTTAGGGACGTCGCATGTGGCGTTCGGATATTAATAAAAAAACAAATTATAGAATCTGTCTGTAATCCGTGAAACGAATTTATTAAGCCTAATTAATCCGTTATTAGCACATGTGTTACTATATCATGGACGAATTAGGCTTAAAAGATTCATCCCGCAATTAGTCACAAATTATACAATTAGTTATTTTTTAGTTTATATTTAATCTGGTCACCCTCCCAAATTCTAAAGTGATGATGATGTTTGGCCCGAGACGAATTTATTAAACCTAATTAATCCGTTATTAGCACATGTGTTACTGTATCATAGACGAATTAGGCTTAAAAGATTCGTCTCGTAAATTAGTCACAAATTGTGCAATT